AGTCTCTTCTTCATGTACAATTTATTTTGACTGTTTTTCTTCAAAAATTTATCCTCCAGTGCTTTCCATAATTTACTTGCAGAAGTTTCCTTTGTGTATGGATATTTCTGCTCTCTAGCAAGGTAGGATCGAATGGTACCGCAAGCAACACGATTGATAATTTTTCAATCTTCTTCTCCAATAACATCTAGCTTCTTTTCTTCAATGGCAAGATTTAGCCCTTGTTGAAAAAGAACATCTAGAACCTCGTCTTGCCACATCCCAAAATGTCCTGACCCGTCAAAAATTTCTACCACAAATTTCGCATTTGACACAATTCTTGTCGTAAGCGAAGAGGCCAACGATGACGTATTATTGACACTTGATGTAGATTCTTCTTGTTTATTGTCTCCCATTTTGACACTAATATTATTTAGTAGCTGACAACACAAATCAAGATTATTTTCTTTCTGGTGTGGAAGATCAGACTAAGCTGCAACCACAGAGCATACTCAGACAGAACCTTGACTCAGTTACCAAGATAGATCATTTCTGATGTGGAAGATCAGACTATGATGCAACCACAGAGAATACTTAGACAGTACCTTGGCTCTGATACCAATTGTTGCGGAAGCCAAATGTATATAGTGTGAATGAGTCACAACTACTATACCAAAAATTATGACAACCACTAAATAATAAACAAGACAATAAGACAACAATAAAAGAATACCAGAATTTACGAGGTTCGGCCAATTTTGCCTACTACTTCCTCGGACACAATCAATATTTTATTCCACTCCAATATTACAAGTGATAATACTAAAGAGAGAAGATACAAATGCCTTAAGAAGATAAAAAAAAAAAAGGCATGTATAAGCCTATAAAATGTCCTAAAACAAAGAGAGCCTATAAAATATTCCATATTCATTATCATGACAAAAAATCCATACACCTTGCCCCACCTTTTGTTGCGGTGTCTACAACAAAAAAGTTAAAATATAAGCCATGTATTGAAATGGTAATACTCTACTAATAATGATATAATGAAGTAAACTTTTAATGAATAATCTACATATATAACCTTTGGATAATTCTATGCAATATAGGTCTCCACAAATTTCAAGCACTTAGATATATCATATTACAAAAAGGATGTTGTAAGATAAGAGGTTAAACGAAAATTAAATGCTATTTGCATTTAACAACTTATTGGGTCATCATCATGCTAAGGTATCCCTTAGCGCTACTACCTTTTACGGAGTCGAAAAATCAAATGGACCCCTTGAATGGAGCTACAGCAAAAGGTATGCAGTACTTCCTAAAATTAAACACTTTCTTAAGAATGTAAGTCATGATAAGTTAGTGATTTAATAAAATACCTCGAATAAAATGGAATCAAATATAACTTCATGTTTGATGCACCATGATAAACCTGCCATAAATCAACCAATTTTCTCACTGCTATTTGGAGACATTCTTCCCTCTTTTCCTCATCAAGCAGATGAGCATTAGAAATCTAAATAAACCGTGGATCGACGAGAGAAATCATACGATCCTTTTCACTTTCCATCAATTGCCCATGTTGTTCCTTCAAATGGAGAAACATACAAAAATTATGAGCAAACCAAATGGCGGAGGCTTCTCGTCCGCCTAGGCCTGCGAAGCCTGGCGAAAATTTCTTAGGGTGCCTCCTCTCAGGGGCGGAGCCACAGTGCTGTTTGCGGGTTCGGCTGAACCCAGTAGTTTTTGTTCAAACCCTGTATTTGTACGAAGAAATTCAATAAATATGTACAAATCATTAATTTAGAACCCAGTAACTTAAAAGGATTATAATCTCGAACCCATAAGGTTCAAATCCTAGCTCCGTCTCTGCCTCCTCTGACACTTAGTTTCCGCGCTTGATTCCTCCTCCTAGACTTGGATGCTAAGCAAAACGCGATGGGAGGAGTACATTGCTTCCCATTTGCGCTCCTGGGCTTTTGCACGCCTAGCGTCTACGCAGGCACCAATGCCTGTCCAACTAATTTTCTTGTTCAATTTTCGTCCTTTTGCCCACTTCTATCCTGAGCCTCTTCCAACATGTAAAATATTTATATATGTAATCCCTTTTTAATGACCTTTCCATCATTATGTGGGTCTGTATGCCCCTTGCCTCATTAAGTATCATTAAAGCTTCAATTAGAGACAAAGTTATTAGAAATTATAATTAATACGACTTAACATTGATATAAAGTCCAATGTCATCAAACTCAAGATTAAGCCAGTGACTCAACTAGTGTATTTATAGGACTATGGCTTATCAAGTGGATATATACACGCACAACTATTTGTTTACAACTGTTCTTCTAACCGCACTAACTTGACTACATTGCACCGCACCTCACTCTTCAACTAACATAACTAACTTTTCCTCCAAAGTCTTGATCAGCAAATATCTCTTGCTTATGACATGGCCTCCTAGCTGGCATGTGAGTTGTTTTGTGAGCTCCTTTGTGCATCACTAGAGGCCAGTATGTATCCCAGAGACCCATATTAAAAAGGTTGGAAAAAAAAGAAGAGAGAAATACTATTGTAATATTCTGAAATCTTAATGACACTAGAATAAACAGAAAAGAGTTTTGGTTCATACTTCATACGCATCAATCATTATCATTAGAAGAAAAATATCTGATTCAGAAATGTCTCGTTCGCTAAAGTGGGAAGTGGGAACCTTCACATTATATAATTGGACGGATAAAGATTATCTGACGCAAAATACAGTTCAACCTACAATGTCTGATTCCCAAATTCAATACTTAAGCAGCCAAATTTTTATCACTTGGACAACCCCGCCTGTTCACATTTAGTAATTGAGGGACCACATAAGTCTCCTTTGTGAGTCTTCCCCTTGGCAGAAGACAGACACCATACACAGGCGAGGTTTTTGCAAAGAGACAGAAAAAGCCTCAGAATTCACCTAGCAGTCATTCGAGATGTTTTCACACCTCAGATTCTTGTGGATGAGAGCAATACAGCGTGCCATCTCTGCATGCCATCTTTCAGCAACCGGTCACTGTAATGCCATACAAAATGATATTTCATCTTGCCACAGTATGCTTTTAACTTCTATGATTGTTGTACCACATGATGACCTTTGAGATCTCAAACCCTGAGACTGGATTAAAATCTCGCATCTAAGGCTTTGCGTCACCAGCCTGAAATTATTGAAGGAAAAAATATAACTGACATAATTAAGTAAATAAAAGTATGCTCTTTCTAGCAGCTTAAGCTTCTAGATTAGTTGATCAACAATGTGATTTATTTGACACGCGCATGTTTTAAAAAAGAACTAAGTCAAGCAGGAGCTCATAAATATCAAATTGATGGCCAGTGCTACCTGAGAAATATATGACGAGTGATGCTCTGAACTCTTATGCTGAAAGAGCCAAAAAGTTATGATCAGAGAAGGAAAGGCATAAAAGCGGCACTTTGATTGTCTGCAGCTCCCGGAGATGCTTTTAGACGACATACTAAGAGTTTGTGAAAACTGAAACACGCTCCACTCATTCTGGATTTATTGAGATCTAGCCAGACGAGCTGCAAAAGCTCCATCAAGTTCATGCTTCACAGGATTAGACATGTAGAAACCTCGTGTAGTGACAAAATCCTCCGGTACATATCTGTTCACAGGATCAATTTCGAATTCCTGCAAGGAAAAAGATGGTGACAGTTAGAGCAATGTGCAGGACATTCAACTTTTCCCTTACAGGAATAGCAACTAGAACACCTGCCCCCTCCCCCACCCTCAAACACAAGAAGATGGAATAATGCTTTCAATTACAATAATATACAGCACTATCATCTTTAGCCCTGCAAGGTCAGGAGTGATGTTGACAATTAAAATAATAGACAGAACTATCAAAGTTAGCCCTGCTAGTTGAACTTTTAAACACATATTTGGTTCTATTTGTTTCTTCGATAAGTACGTCGCTCTATTATTGTCATGACAAGGATGAGCAATCTGGTCCCTCAAGAAGAAGACCAATTTAACACTAAACCAGAGAGAACACGTGGGACAATCAATTTAGGCATGAGAATAATCCCATGAGGATATATGAAGACAAGACGACAACAACAACAACCCAGTATAATTCTACTAGTGGGGTCTGGGGAGGGTAGTTGTACGCAGACCTTACCCCTACCCTGGGGTAGAGAGGCTGTTTCCGATAGACCATCGGCTCCCTCCCTCCAAAAACTCCCCACCTTGCTCTTGGGATGACTCGAACTCACAACCTCTTGGTTGGAAGTGGAGGGTGCTCACCACTAAAGCAACCCACTCTTGTCTGATATATGAAGACAAGATGAGAGGGTTTATACCAGCAATCTCTCAAAAAATGAATTCTGAAACTCCAGTTTCTTCTCTCTCATTTTTTCTTTTTTTTAAATTTTGGAATTTCATCCGTCTTCTTTTTGACAACAATAGGCCTGTGCTTTCTATATAAAGCATATAGTCTCATTTAGCACAGCCTCAATAGGAAGCAAAATCCTCACTCCTTAATGCCTGAAATGGGTTTTGAGCATGATATATGTGCTATATCTGATTTTTATGAAAGAACCAACTCATAAGAGATAAAGCAATTTCCAGTCAAAATTCTTACTGGATGCCTTAGAAGAAAAGCTTCAATTCTTTCCTCATTTTCTTCAGGGTCAATGGAACACGTGCTGTATATTATAACTCCACCTGGCTTCACCAACCTGCGGATGCAGAACAAAAGCATAAAAAGGAAACAAAAAACAGAACCTCATATGTTAATGTGTAAAGCTAGTCACTCAATCATAATGCATATAACCAAGAGGCATTTCAGATTGTAAGTACATGTAGTAGCAGTAAGAAACTTTAACCAGCTTTGACTTAATAAAACAGGCAAATTGAGTTATAGTTAACATCAACCCAGCTTGTATATCTCATTTTCCAACTCTCTTGTACTCAGTAGGAGGAATGTGTATAAAGATATGCGCCTTATTTTGGTCCGCTTCTGAACTTGCATTATCCTCGCCAGTCACCAACATTACTAGGAAAAAGCTACTCAATATTGGCAGCAGCAATTAAGGTCAAGATTGCACTTAGTTTATGAATTAAGAACTATGGTTTTACCTGGAAGCTGAATCGAGAAGTTCATCCTGTAAATGTTTAAGCTGCTCCATATCTTCCTGTTTCCTATTCCAACGCAAATCTGCTCGCTTTCGCAAACAAAGAGGAAATATACATTTCAAATGTCCCAGCTACTACTACCTATGGTTTAAAGAAAGATGAAACAACAGAAGCAAGAATAACGAATGTGACATAAGAAGAAGAGGAATAAAGGACCAAAACTTTTAGCACCCATGCAAGCTTACATCGAACAATAGAAATTGCACACGTCTCTAGAATGAAAATACCTTAGAAAGAACACCCAGCCCTGAACAAGGTGCATCCAGCAAGACTTTATCCCATTCTACGACCTTATCGGTCTGCCAAAAGTTAAACCAGGGATTAGCAGTTGGAAACTAATATACCATGTATTTTTTACAACTTGCAAGTTCTTACAGAAAATGTTCGAAGATCAGCATGGATAGTACTGATAACATCAATAACTTGGTGCAATTTGGCTGTCTCTTTAAGTATCCGCAACCGACCTTCATTTATGTCAACGGCAAATAATGTACCTGACAAACAAGTAAAGCACTGTAGTGTAGCGTTAAAGAGTCAACAAACATAACTTTCATACATAAGAAAAGGTTAATGACCAGAATTGCTGGCCAAACACTATGCATATAACTATTTACATAATCCACCGTTGAAAATGCTGAAAATATGCAATGCTTTAACAAGGCTAAGTCACCAATGATCAATAGTTATAAAAAAAAGGCTTTATCCAGTTGTAAAACAAAAAATATGACGAGCCATCTTGATTCTGAAACTCTCGAAAGAGAAAAATAGATATTACAAAGCAACGAACCTGGTAACTTTTGATTGAGTTACTTTTAGGCAACAGCAACAACATAATACCCAAATGCGATCCCACAAGTGCGGTCTGGGGAGGGTGGGATATACTCAAACCTTACCCCTACCTTGTGTGAGGTAAAGAGGTTGTTTCCGATATACCATCGGCTCAAGAAAAGTGTTTTCAAAACAGGTTTGAAAAATACAAGAGTAAAAAAAGCTAAGATGAAAATACTGAAGAAAAGAAAAGCATTGCCAGTAAAAGTTACTTTTCGGCACCAACAATTAATAAATGTAATTAGCGATGGACAAGGGAATATGGCGTTTGTATAGCAGACACCATGATTGTCTACTTTTCCAGGACAGGCATCCTCACCTACGTTTTATTTCATTACTACAACAACAACAACAACAAACCCAGTGTAGTCCCACAAGTGGGGGTTTTATTTCATTACTGAATACACAAATTTAAATTCTGCATGTGCTATGCTCCTGTTAGAAGATCTTGCCTTTAGTTAGCTCCCAAAATATGTAATAGGACAATATTTTTCCATGTAATTTCAGCTCTAAAAGCTTTCATCTGTCAACTATGATGAGCAAGGTTTATATGAAGGTTACCTTGGCCATTCAAGCGGGAAGCCATGAACAAGGTTTTCCCTCCTGGAGCAGCACAACAATCAATAATGCTCTCACCAGGTTGAGGATCAACAATAGAGACTACTAATCCTGCAGTAATTAGGGTTATTAGGGGAATGATACACATCCTTTTTCACCATTTATGATATTTGTACGGGTTTCAAACTCGAGTATAAACAAATGCATTATCACAATGAGGCCATCGAATTTGGAATATGAGATACAAGTCAATGACCAACAAAATACCAATCCATTTTTCAAGTAACTGGACATTAGTTTCCACAGTATATAACTTGTAAAAGGAAGGGGAGACACTCTGACAAAGAGTGTGGATCAAATTAAGCAAATCATTGTAGCAAATTATGAACAAATGGAAAGTAAAGATGGAATTTTCTTTTTCTTCGCAATGATATGTGATACAGTTCATTGATGTATGAACATCCCTGTGAGTAATAACTCAATTTCTCGATTATGATCCTTGGAACATAGATATGTGAATGGTCCAAGTTATCCAAAAGAAGCCAAACTCTCTTTCCTTAATCGTGTTGACTAGGAGAGCATATGAAAACAACTCTGTGTTGTCAAAGCTTTCTTAAATTGGAACTACTCCCCCTGCCCGCTGAAGGAATAGTTGTATATCAAGCCAAGGTTCAAGGGATAACTGAAAATGAAAGAAGGAATCTCTTGTAACATACTCAACTACACATTTATTACAAGTCCACATACTCCACATTTTGAGTTCTGTGAGGCAATTACCAGCACTTTCATCCTGGACTGCACAGAAGCCTTCTTTTAGTAACCCAGCCTGTATAACATTCTGAAAGAAGAGACCTTAAAAAGTCAATTGAGCTGCAAAATACATAAAATGCACATATGAAACTAAGACCAAGTCAAATTTTTAAATGACATAAAAATATATGACAACACTTCCAATCAACATTATTTGGTGTCATCTAAAATTCTACATTAAGTATGTGACTTCATCTCTCCATTTCTTCCAGCTGAATTTGTCCATAACCAGAATCAGTACCATAGCGGAAACAATTAAGACTACCTTTTCTATTTCTTTGATATAGTAAACCCCACCCGATAAACCCCTCTATTCAGGAGTCAATGGTGGCCCTTTTCCCAATTTGCTCTTCTGGTGGCTCAAACCCCAACCTCTTTGTTAGAGATGAAGGGCCCTATCCCTCACATTTCAACAGTTGACACTACCTTTAAATCAAGTCTCTGCGGTAATTTTGAGAGCTAAAAAGAAAAGGAACACGCATTCTGGTTTCTTCTTTATAAGTAACTAATTATCGATCGCTACTGAAGTGACCTATCAAAATAGAAAAAATTTGCATCAATGGCATAAAGATGATCTTATAGTAAACACTGTTTGAGGATCTTAAGAACCTTGTTGAAGTCATACCTGCATTCCAGTTTTAATACGAACAAAATCATCCAAGTATAGAGAAGGCTCATGTGGAACCTAAAGTTCAAGAAAGGAAATGAATGAGTCATTGTAATACACGAAACAAATGCAGAATCTTGCAGAATAATTCAGAAAATATGATGGTCTCAAGTAGTGTCTAGGACACTCATCCTATTTTGTTATATAAAAAAAAAAAGGCAGAAGAAAACTCTGGTATGATGGACTTCTATTCAGAGTTCTAAAAGTCTTAACTACTAATGAATGATATCTATTGAACTCTCTTTGTTCAACTAGACATTCAAAATCTTAGAGTTCTGAATAAGGTATATTACCAAAGATAGAGAGACAGAGAGTCCAGAAGTGATCCTAAATTTTGTTATCAGTATGGAATGAAATGCATCTAAATATTACCTTCAACATTTTAAGCCTTGAGACCAGATCAGCCCCTGTCAAACCTTTCCCAGTATTTGCCCTAGTTTTGTTAAACGATACGAACACAAAAAGTGTCACACTATCATCCAGAGAAAGGGTAAAAAAGGAAAGAAAGCTTCATCATATACCGTAGACTGAAACTGGGAGAGCTGTTATTCCATGTCATAAGCTTAATAGCTTCGTCCCGTCCAAAATACTTTGTCCATCTTCTTACCATCCACTGGGAAACATAGTAAAGGAATGTATAGAAGAAAGATTAAGAGATGTGAAAAGATAGTTATATGACTATGCTTATAATACTATAATTTGTGATGTTCTAAAGCATAGAGGAAAAAGATTTGTGATAAGAGGACCATATAATTGGAGTATCATGAAAAATTTCCAAACCATGAAACAAAATGAAGGCCATTTTGGTAAGTTCTTAAGCAAACTCGCTAGAACTTAAACCAAATCCATATGATTAAACCCAAGCATCATTTTATCTCCAACCAGAGTTATGAATCAATGACAGAACTCACCGTATGGATGAAGAAATATACATCATTGAAACACTGAAACTTCCAAACATGAATTTAGAAAATTTATTTGACACAACCATGGATGTACAGGACATTTTGCTAAAATATCAGACTTGGATCTTCTAAGACAAAAGATTAAAAAAGAAACAGTTCAAACATACAACTGGATGAGAGTAAAGAGTGGCAAGACCACGTGCTTGCTGACGATCATCACCGTCCACTTTTACTGCCGGAAGGGAATCACTCTCCTGCAGACATGAAAAAATAAATGTCAGGGAACCAGTAGATATTGTTAGATCCTATGTGCTGGTGGAATAATACATACCTTAAGGACAATTAGTTTCCTGAGAATCCCATTAACCAAGTTACCGGCACCAGATCTAAGAGCAACCTTAGCGAGCTTTACATTCTGCAGTTAGATTTTAACATCCGAAAAAGAAGTATGCTTACATTACTTTGCACAAAGAATGTTCATCTCACTTATCAAAATGAAACAAAAAGAGATAATGTTTATTTTCAAAAGATATGAAGTGAACATGCTATGCTCTG